TCTTCACAGTTCAAATTTACATGGTAAACAAGATATTGTGGAAAATTATTTAAATACTTAGGAAAATAAAGTCTTCATGAGTACTTATACATTCTCACTTAAAGGATAAGCTAATTAAAAAACATTACTAAGTGAGAAAGAATCATAGTAGACAGGAATTTTCATGGTAGTGAGAATTGGGGGGGGGGTAGTAGAAAGTCTTTTCAATGTATATTTTATATATCTTGATTTTTAAACCTTGTAAATATTTTGCCAATTCAAAAATGAAACATGAATATACTTACCTACATATAAACATACATTTGAGGGGATTAGATTTCCTGTAACTTCATAGGAACCATGTAACCTCAAGATCATTCTTTGTATATTCTTTGAATATACAAAATTAATATATATTTGTTGTTCTTTAAATAGCTTAGGTTTTGAGACAGTGTCCCTGGTCTGTGTCTTCAGCTAGATAGACTTAATTTGAAAAGGATAGTGCAACTAGAAATAGGAAAATATTTCAATTGAAGTAAAAATATAAACTATGACTGGTAGGTAGTCCATTTATTCTCTGACAAGCTAGTACCACTGATTGTAGAGGTATTCATTTTACAATTAGTTTTTTCGGATAACCCAGAAGGGGTTAGAGGAAAGAGGAAGGTCAACTATTTTTTTTTTTTTTTTTAAATCCAGAGTTCTCTGAGACCTGAAATAAAAGGACTTATGGGTCCATTCCTAACGATTGGATTTCTTTTTCTTAGAGTAGGAGATTTCTTTTTTAAAGGAACTTTCCTTTGAAGTAGGCTATTTTTTTTAATTTAGAAAACTAACTTCTGGATACACATGTGTATTGTTTCTGAAGATAGGGATTAATTTAAGAGCGGAGAAGAAAAATTTTTTAAAAAGATAATAGAATATAATTTCCAAGAGGAGATCTTAGATGTATGTTTTTATAAGATTTTAGATTATTGCATTTATGTTACAAAGTAAAAGACATTACACAACTTAAAATCTTAGTTATAAAGGTAAACATATTTATTTTTTAAATTATAATACTTTATACAGTATTTAGAATTATTTCCTAGCAAAAGTCATTTATTGCCATATTAGAGAATATTAAAATATAATACATCCAAATAGTATTCCCTTTTTCTGAAGAATTTATAAGTACTTAAATTACTACAGGCACACAGTTTACTTGTAATAAAGAATGTTAATAGGAAGGGTAGGAGTTAATTAACTAGACCCTTAATAATGGGCCTTTCTAGTCCAAGGAATCTTATAATTGCCTCTGAAGCTAGTTGCGTAGCAAGTTGCAAGATGAAATATCTAGACCTGTAGTCATTTTAAGAAAAAGGTTGTCTTCAGGCAAACTTTGGTACCTTTATTATGTAAAATGCCTTTTTGATTAGCAATACATATTGTCAAAATGGAGATAGAGGTTCAGTGCCTCCTGTTTACATAAGATTAAATTAACAATAAGGCTAAGACTCTTCAAGGAGCACAGTTTTTACTCTCCTCGCAGAAATTAACCTTTAGGCAAACTTTATACATGTAGTAGTAGTAGTAGTTTGTTAATCTTAAAAATATATTCCTATAATTACTAAGGATTATTGAAGTGTGTGGTAATTTTCTCGAAAACTGAAACGAATGAATTGGGAAAGTATAGGGGATATTTTCATTAAATCTTAATATAAGAAGTATACAGGGTGAAAAATAACAGTGCATATATTCTGCAAATGTTATATGTTTCAAACTAGTTTACTGTATTATAAATCCCCCAAAGGATATTTAATTCCCCTCTCTTAGGGATTGCCCATTTTGTACCATTCAGCTACTTGCAAAATCTGGTCAGTCTGTGCCAGGACTGCAATAGCATAAGTTAGTGAAAATAGCCTGTTTGGCTTCTGTTGGGAAGACCCGATGAAAATATGTTCCATTTTCAAAATGTTTCTGAAAGGACTTATTTTTTGGAAACGATGCTTGCCATTTCAAACTCTTCAGAAAGGCAGGTTTTACAAAATGCAAAAATCATCTCCTGAAAGTTTGAAAGGGTGGAGGGGGCTGCCGTGTGGGGGCGGTCTCATTTGCTGCCCACATCCTCCCTCTGTTCAGTGCCTTGTGTGCTCACGGGTTCCCTGGAGCGGATCACCATATAATTGATGTGCAGTCTGCATTGCTGAATCCTGGACTGCACCATTCTGTGTTCAAGGGAAGATGTAATCTGATCCCTCTGCTGCTGAGGGAGGAATCTGTTCAGTCAAGGCTTTGACAGGGCATAGTCTCCTCCAATAATCTTCTCGGTTCTCTCTCATTATTCCCTCGAGTTCTCCTCAGTCAAGCTGCATGTATGTATGTGTGTCCCGAGGAGCGGTTTGATACTGAGCTGCATCTGCCTTTACTGTGGAGTTTTGTTGCCGGTTCTGCTCCCTAATCTTCCTTTTCTGACGTGCCCGAGCATGTCCACATTAGAATCTGTGACATACCTACCTGAAAAAGGTTTATATTGTCAGAGACTGCCAAGCAGCCGGACACACGGGGGCACAGAATCACTGAAGGGGAAAAATACAGAAAACATGGGTTTCTACGGCACGCTAAAAATGATTTTTTACAAAGTAAGTAACCTGTTTTCTTCCTGTGTTGTATGAGTGTGGGGATGTGTGTTTGTGGGGATGTGTGTGAATGTGTGTCTGCCCGAGAAGGAAAATCTGTATCATCAGAGATGGCTGCAGTATCCTCTAATTTTGGTGGGTGGCTGGATGTCTGGTAGTCTGTTTTATATTGTGAATGTTAAGCAAATAAGGGGAAGACGTGAGCTGTAAAAAAAAAAAAAAAAAAAAAAAAAAAAAAAGCTTTAAAATGAAAAGAAAATGGATAGTGGAATCTGAGAATTTTGCACTAAAAACATATTCAGACTTTAGAAATGTGGCTCCGTTAAACGCTGACCTGGAAATACTCTACCCTTAGTTGGCTTTTCGTGAACCTTTTGCCTTCAATTTTTCCACACCTTAGATCTATGTATTTTTTTCTTTTTTCTTTAGGTGACTCTTTCAAAGTGCAGAATTGCTAGGATATGGGGATTTATGTTTAGAGAGATCATATTTACTTTCTGTATCCTTTAAAAATTGCAGAATTAATTTTTGGTTCTAAACTCGGTATTTTTCAGTAAATATAATATTTAAAAGACTTCTATAGTCATACAAGAACTGCTTTATTTTATAAAATATTCTGAAGATAAAAACCATTTCTCAGTGGTTCCCTTGATATGTATATTGGGCATTTTTATTAATTGAAGGTTTTCTAAGATGGAAATAAAGTTTGCTTTTAGTGGCAAATGGCATTTGCACCAATGTATTTACAAGCTATCTAGGGAAGTTCTGAAAGCCAGTATTCCAAACTTAATTAGAATTCATATCAAAGTTTTTCATAATAATTTTGAAAATAAGAATCTGTGGAAGTTATTTAAAAAAATACACACACTAGAATTTTAAAGTAAAATGTACTTACTGACCTTCCTGATGGATGGATACATTTGGGTGTATGTGTACGTGTCTATAATTTATATCCATGCAAGCATGTGATTACTTATATATTAAATCTTTTATACTTATTTTTATTAAAATTAGTTGGGGAAAGAAAATAATGGTTTTTGAGAGGAAGCACGTTAAAATAAGTACAGAAAGTTCAAAAGGGTTGAAATGAGACCACTTCCATTTATTTCAAGCTGGTATTTCATGAACTAAGGTATACATTGTAGATGAGCTTATACTCTCACCTCAACCCCTAATATTGTAAGATTGTCCCTGCATTTTCCAAGACTTTCTTCATGATGATAAAAACATAGTCTTTATTATTCAGAGTGTGGTTCAGAGAGATTTTTAGTCATGTTGGTCCTCTTTAGTACTAACGGTGTAGCATAATGTGTTATGATGTCCCCACGTGAGGCAATAGGTAAGAAAATAAGGCTACTGCAAAGTAAGGGTTTTCACCTTATTATGCAAGTAAGAGCTAGCTATTGCTCTGGGGTTTTTCTCCTTGTAATTTTCAGTAATATAGTAATTAATTAGCAGGCACACATCTGAGGGGGGTTGTTGAAATACAAAAAGTTGAATCCTATCACATCTTATTTCCTGGTTTTATGATATATGTATAGTTTGATTACCTAAGTTAATCTATAGTGAAATATAAAAAATAAATATTTCAGTATTGACAAAATGCAGTATTGAATACATTTACAGTATTACATAAATATAGCATATTGAAATACGTTAAAGCTATAATTGTTGGATATACCTTACAAAGATGGATAACTCATTCTTTTTAAGTCTTTTTGTTGTTGCTTTTCAAATTAAAATGTTTGTCTTGAGTATCTGTCCATAAAATTATATTCTGTATGAATATTAATTGATGGCTTTTCCCCAGCTTTATTATAAGATCTCCAGATTTCTCTTATTATGGACTTACTTTTTTGCTGTCCTCATTGCCCATATTCATTGCTTTATGTCTTATTATTACTTTTCAAGATCTTTTTATTTGCCTTGCTCTCTTTACCTTTTATAACATGTTTTAAATGTAGTTACTGTTACTGTCATTTTGAAATTTTGAATTTTGTTTATCTTTCTTAAAATATGTTTTGAAAGGAAAATGAATATCAGTAAGAAAGGCATGTTAAATATTGTTCTTTTCTGTGTGTATTAACATGACATTTTCCTCTATGTTGGTTCTTAAACTGGAAAACATGAAAGGTTATGTTGCTCTTAAGGAATATATATAATGGATATCTATTTTTAAATCCTCATACACTGTTCTCTGGACAAAATATTAGGTGGAAAATTCACTTTTCCAGTCTTGTAAAGAGTAGAAAAAGTAGAATAGAAGAAACTGTGAAACATTTATTTTTCTATAATATTTTATTCCTAATTAACATTTTAGGCATATAAACATTTAAGATATCTATTAAAATTTGTTAGTTGGACTGGTGATTAAAAAAAAATCTTATTTGTTTTACTTTATAGATGAAAAGAAAGTTGGACCATGGTTCTGAGGTCCGCTCGTTTTCTTTGGGAAAGAAACCATGCAAAGTCTCAGAATATACAAGGTAATATTAAGTATAATAATTGAGTTTCTCATGATTCTCATATTTCTTTAAAGAGTTAGAAATTATGATTGTAAAAGCATTTTTTCCATTTATTCTCACATAATGTCACTAGTATTGTTGACTGTCTAACACATTTTGAGATCATTGAAAATACCTTATTTTAAATAAGGAGAAAAATGTTTACCATGATAGCTTTATATTTTTTTTTTTTACAAATACTTTGAAGTAAGACACAAGCAGAAGTTCTCTTCTCAACAAAAATTTTAAATCACAATTTTTCAGGAATTCTAAAAAGTAAACCCATAAATATGAGCAAATGTATCTTGTTACTATAGCAACAACTGTTCTAGGGAGTATATTTATATATGCAAAGTAGAAGATACATTTATTAGCAGTGAAATAAGCTTCACAATTACTAACTGAATCATATTTCATGAAATTACTGTGTTAGAAATCCCTTTTATTTGCTTGGTAGGTCTTGTGTTTTTAACACATACATTTCTACACCAGTAGAATAGTTTCCATAACAACTAAATACAATTGTAGTCTTGTTTCCTGCACCATTCCATCATTTTTGAATTTTGCATCAGTATAAAACTTCGCACTCTCACGCTAATTAGGCTAAGTTAAGCGCAATATCTATTACCTAGCCAATTAAAAATGGCTTTGGATGTCACTTGGAGTGTGGTATTTTAAAATTTAAATAACAAAAGTATCTTAAAAACTTTCTTTGGTCTTTTTTCTTTTTCATAATTGTCATTCTTCAGATAACTGAAAGTTAGCTATAGAAACCATAAGAACTCATGATGGTGACATTACTTTTTCCCTAAATATTTTTATTTAAAATTGTTTTTATTCTATAAGCTGCAGTAAAATTAACTTTGCTCAGACATAAGTTTTTGTAATAAACATTGTTATAGATTGCATTTTCCTTTTTTTTTTTTTTTTTTAGAGAAAACAGCTTATATTTTTATTTAATTCAGTTGTGGAATATATTTCTTTCAAAAGCTTCTTTGTGAAATCTAAAAATGATAATCATTAGAATAGTTTTATATAAAAAAATGCAAGGATGATACAGAAAAGAAAAATAAAGCTCTCTTTTAGTTATTCAGGAAATGCTTTTAGTATCATTTTCTCATGTTAACTGTCCCTTTCCCTTTACTTAAAACCCTTTGCCTTTTGACAATTTGACTGTGTTTTGGTATTTCCACCAGAGGTTGTGGAGTGATGTAGAGATAAGTGAAACTACTCACTTCATTTTTGCTTTTTCCTTCTAGTCTTGATAAAATATTTTTCAGATGAGAAAGTTGAACATAATGTTAAAAATGTGCTATATTAAAAAAAATGTATTCCAGTAATCATATAATTTTTGATCTCTTATTAATATGGCTGATACCAGGGCAAAGGTATTAAATTGTTCAGTTATTTTTAAGGCAGCTTATAAATGAATGTTGACTTTTTACTGCAGAACACATTTTAGTTAAATTTGTCTTTAGTTGTTTATTTTTATATTGAGAAAGCACCTGAAAAGGTGAAAGTTTTATTTTTAGCCTTTTAACATATGATATTAAAGCAAACCAAACAGCATACCCTATCATTTTGGAAATGTCAGTATATATTTGATATTTTTAAAATTTTTTGACAGATTTTCTACTAATAAGATGAAAAAAATTCCATTATTTTTATTAGAAAATGTAAGTTATAGTCACTATTTAAAAATTGTTTCATTTCAGAGAAGAAAATACAGCATATCTTTGAAATTTGGTAGAAGAAAAAAATAAATTTAATTATTGAATGTTAGAAATTGTCATAGAGGTATAATGTTAAAAGATTTAAAGGTGGTAGATTTTTCTGTAAAATCTGGTGACTGGATACATTTTTAAAAAACAAAATAATGAGATATGCTGGCTGGAAGAGCGTTGGGGAGAGATGTTTTATTAGTAATTTATCAGAGCTTGATATTCAACTATTAGGGTACAATTTGTATGTTCTTTGGATTTAAAACCCTATTATTATAGCTCAATAAATTGAAGGTTTATTGTACAAATGTAACTACTTAACTAAATCTTTCTTTTTTACCTATCTCTAAGAGATGTTTAGTATTTACCATGAGTTTAAATAATTTAGTTATTGAAACTACAAAGTAAAGTTTAATATATTAATAACAATTATCACCATATTTTTTCTAATTAATCATTTTTAGGAGAGTTGGACAATTTTGGAGATTGATAATCTAGTCTTAACTCCTCATTTTACTAATTAATGATAGAATTGAATTTCGGGTATTTTAAAAACTGGCTCAAAGTTTATTGGATAAAACTATTTGGGTTATTTCATTTAATTTTGCATATAATAGGATTTCAACACTTACCTGTTTTGAGTAAATACATTTCTAATCAAGGTTTGCGCCTATCATATATTATTTAAACTAAGCTTTATAAATTACAAAAACAAAAGTGAAATAGACAAATGTTATAAATAATTTAAAAGGCATCTGGGGCAAACTCAAGGAACATTGCTAGTGAATGTCCAAAACATTTGGACATACTATTTCTACATTTGAATTTTTTAAAGTATTTGTAAGTCTCACACCTTTTTTTAAATAGAAAGTTTTAACTTTTATTTAATGATGTCACTAAGACCAGTCAAAAGAGAAGTAGAACCTGTATCTTATAAGGAAATATTTTAACATTATTTGTATGTATCAACAAGTTGTAGTTTTGCCATAGAGATTCTGTCACTTGGTTGCAATTAGCATTGTTGGGATAATAACAGGTGGTTATGTAGGAGGGAGGAAACTTACTCTAAGAATAGAAGAATAGATTTTATGTAGCCTTGCTCTCTGGGCATAAGCAAATAAAAATAATAATTTGATTAATGTTTGAAATATGCCAGATCATAATTCTTATTATATTCGAACTTGTTAATCTTAATAAATATCTGTCTTTACTTTTACCCTTATATTTTTTATAGCACCACTGGGCTTGTACCATGTTCAGCAACACCAACAACTTTTGGAGATCTGAGAGCAGCCAATGGCCAAGGGCAACAACGTCGCCGAATTACATCTGTCCAACCACCTACAGGCCTCCAGGAATGGCTGAAAATGTTTCAGGTGACATGTCTAAACACAGTACTTGAAATGCTTCACTTAATTGCTGCAAAAAAAAAATATATATATATATATATTATTCAGCCATGAAAAGGAATTGTTACAGGCTATATCTTAGATGAACCTTAAAAACATGCTCAGTAAAAGGAGCCAAACACAGAAAGCCACATATTATATGCTATATCCAAGAACAGGAAAATCCATAAAAACAGGGTAGATTGAGTGAGTACGAGGCTATGGTGGAGGAGAGGTAGAAAGTAGACTAACTGCTAGTTGTACAGGTTTCTTTTGAGGGTGATGGGAGTGTTCTGGAATTGGATAGTAGTGATCTTTGCACAGCAAGATGGCTGTGCTGGGAACCACTGAAGTGTACATTTAAAATAGTAGATTTTATGTAATGTGAAGAATATCTCAATTTAAAAATGCTATTAAAATAGGGAAGCTCATTTTAATTTCTAAGTGAATTAGTGAGGAGAATACAGCGCATTCCCCTTTCTTTATTCCTTTTTAGGTAATAAGACCTTTCTTCCTTCTCCTCTTTATGTTTGGGTTTCTGGGATCACTAAATGTATTTGTGTTCTAAACTGCATTGATTGGAAGTTACTAGTCAGCATTTAGGAGTGATGTGAAGAATAATGTTCCTCTCCCTAGTAGCCTCCGAGAGTTGATGCAGCTTCTCTTCACTATGTCATGCTTGTTTGTGGCTCACTGAGTTCAAACTCTGATTACTACATTTTAGTAGCTTTTAAATTCTTCGAAAGTTTACCAGGATGATTAGCTACAACCAACCCTTGAAAATTATGAATTTTGTAACTCATGATTCAAGTGATATTAAATTGATTTCTCTCTTCTTCCAGTGAGATTATGCATATAAATGACTTATTTAGCAAAATAGTTGGCATGGATTAAACACTTGCATAATTATTCTTTTAGATAGTAAATAATATAAGTTACGTTAAGTGAAGCGATCTGTGATATTGGCCACCATTCTAATGTAAAATGAATATATTTTCTTACCTAGCTTGATTGGTGGTATTTTATGAATGCATAAGGGAATAAGAGTTGAAAAGAGGATACTTTATTTGACATCTCAGATTTTTAAGATGCCCATTTATGTAAATTCTAATATTTTAAATACCTGGGCAAAAACTAAATAAATGTCCCAATTTTTTTTTCTTCAACAGCTAGAAAACTCACTTGAAGCAATGTTGCTTTCAAATGGATTTTTAAAAATTGTTTTTTACCCTTCAGATGATCTCAGAGAAAGTAGAATGACCCTCCCTCAGCCACCCCACCCACCCTGCCTATTGGTAACGGAAAAGCTAGAGCAGTGGTTCTCTTTTTTTAAATATATTTTATTGATTTTTTACAGAGAGGAGGAGAGAGGGACAGAGAGTTAGAAACATCGATGAGAGAGAATCATCGATCAGCTGCCTCTTGCACACCCCCTACAGGGGATGTGCCCGCAACCAAGGTACATGCCCTTGACCGGAATCTAACCAGTGACCTTTCAGTCCACAGGCCAACGCTCTATCCACTGAGCCAAACCGGTTTCGGCAGAGCAGTGGTTCTTGTCAGGGGGCAGCTTTTCCCATGGCTAAAACTAATTCAGTTGTTACAACTGCAGGCATGGGGGAGGGCCGGCAGGAGGGTGCTGGCATCTAATGGGTAGAAGGAATTTAAGGATCTGCCCCTACACAGAGTTATCCCTCCCCAAATGTCAGTATTGCTGAGGTTGAGAATCTATGGTTAGAGGAATGAAAAATATATTTTATTGTTTTAACAATATTATGAACCACTACAATTATAAACAATTGTGGTGTATTGTTTAGTGTTTTTCTTTTTCATTTTCATAGTCATTTATTGATTAAATTTATCTTCCCCCAAGGTTTATCTTTCCCCCTCCTCCCAGGTTCATGATTTAAACTTAAAAAAACAATTTTTTTTATATGCATACCCTCAGAGTTTAATTTTTTTGTTGCACCCTTTTCAAAAGAAAATTATCCATCAATAAGAGGTAAAAATAGAACTTAGACATTAATATAATCTTAAAGAAATACTTTAAAGATTTTTACTGTCTCTGATTAACTGACAAAATAAGAATATGGATGTGTGTGGTTATATCTGCGCACACATGCAGTAAGAGCAACAGCACTTGAGAGCAGTGCAAAAACTGATTTCATCAGATTTTTATACGTAACAACATGATCAGAAATTATCATCAGTGTAGACAGCCTCCAAATAGTTATTTTATATGAAGAACTTTATTTCTTATGAGAAGGTAGTCCAGAGTGAAATTTAAAATGAGGATGGGTCCATTTTTTCCAATATTTAAAAGTATTCTTTGCTAACCATTTAGGCTTCCTTAATTTTTAATGGAACTTTCTCAAATACTGGTATATATACTAGGGAATATTTGTGCATTGTTTTGCAAAGGACTGTTTTAGGAAGTCCTTTGTATGGTATTTGCTTGTTTAGATAGCTCAGGCTTTATTTAATGAAATGTCCACATTACCACATACTGTATGTCAGCAAATCTGAGATACAATCGATTGTTAGATGCATGGCAACTTCAAAAATGTTAGTATTTTTTAAAAAAGCTTGTTTCTTAGAATTAATGAGACTCAGTAAACTAAAGAATATTAGTCTACCTTTGTTCAATAAAAAGGCCCATTTGATCGCTTTTTACATGAGAAGTAGATTCAATGAAGAAAACTTGTTCTTAGTTAATAGGAATTACACCTATAATAGAATTGCCCCTGTAGGTATCGTACTATTTTATTTTCAGACAAATATTCTGTAGCAAAGATACCCACTAGCAACCAAAGGTCAACTAGACAGATAGATCAGGACCTTGTTTATCTCTGACACACCCAGGGCCTCATTGTCATTCACTGCCCTTTATTTTCAAGGCCGATGCCAAAGTAACTAGAAATGAATCACTTGCCTAAGGACTTATAATGTTTTAATGCCTAACTGACAGACAGATATGATTTCATAGTAAGATGGGGGAGTCATGAGTTGACTATGTTGGATAGTTGAGGGATAATTAGCCTGGCATGATTTCTACAGACATGTTATGGGGGCATTTAATGATGACTTTTCTGTTGCATAACAAGTAAAATGGGAGAATTTGTCCCCTCACTGTTCTGTTATTGCTCCTACAGCAGTGATACAGCATTGTTTTGGTCCAGTTCCATCTATTCTGACAAAGTACTCTGTACTCAATTTATAAATTGAATGAGAACAAATGACACACCATTTTGGATAAAGGGAAATTGAAACAGAATGCTACTGCAAAATAGCAGTGCAAATTAAAAACAAAACAAAAAAACCCTCAGAAATGTTGTACTGTTTGAGTTTTCAGTAGCCATTGATTCTGCTTGCTTTGGCAGCCAGATTGATGTAATTTCGGGGAAAAGAAAAAATTGTACTGTTGTTTATGTCATTTGGGTGTTAATAAATGATTTCTCTTGAAATTTTTAGCCTAGGTAAAGACAACAATAATGTCAACATTTTCTTAGGTTGAAATTTATGTTCAAAGGCATCCTGATAGAATGAGAAGCACATATGATTTAGAAGAAAAGCTCTTAGCTCTTAGTACAAATTCTGGCTTTGCCTTGTAATAACTGAGTCATTTTGTTGATATTATATAACCATTCTTGCTTTTATTTTTATCCTCTGAAGAATAGATAGAACACTAAAAATTGTCAAAAGGGAGAAAACATGTAAATGTGCTTAAGCTATACTTGGAAATAACAGTGGAGAGTCAATAAAGATTAGTTTCCTCTCTTGTAAATAGCTATTGTGAGCCTCAGTTTTCTCAGGTCTAAATGGGGCTGTTAACATTCTCTTCATAGGGATGCCATTAACTTAACATTATTAGTATTATTTTAATCAAAGTATATTTGCATTGCATTGAAACTGTAAATGTATTTTGAAAATACCTGTTATATACCAAAAATACTGTTTAAAATTATAAAGTAGAAAACACTTCTGTGTTTTGAAATTAAAGGTAGAGTAAAAACTATTCTATTGAAGGGTTTAATCAAGTTTCATGGTAACATTTAGAACTTGTGCATACACTTTCTAACTTATTTATTTAGATCTTTTTTTAACAGTCAGCAAAATACTAAAGCAGGAAATGAATTCAGTATTACTTTGCAATTGTATTTGAAACAATATGATCAAAAACCTTGTTGTGTGAGGAGAAGTTAAAAAGGCCAGAGAAAAGTGAAGGAAAAATGTTGTGTGTAACATTTTGTAGAATTTTGTATAAAAAATATGATCAAGCTGATTCTTAGTATTTTCAGAAAACAAAACCTGGATCATATTCTTTGAGTCAGAGTTTGATGTAAGTTGAAGTTAACAATTAGAACTGATCCACAGTAGAATGGGAAATAGTAAGCACTCCACTCCAAGAACTGGAAACATAATGATAACCATCTGCTGAAGGAACTAGCAAAGGGAGTTCACTCCAGTACTGTCCAAAGTCATAAAATATATATCTGATTGGATGCTTAGGGTCATCCAGGTGTTAGTCAGTTTCACTGCTGGTGTGTGAATCCTCTGCATCAATCCTGGATGAATTATTTAAAACATAAAATGTCCCCAGCCTCACCTTGACCACTGGATCAGACGCTTTGATGGTGGGTTGTAAGACTATGATTCTTGCATTCCTCAGCCAGCATTTGCGAACCACTGGTCTGGACCAAGCCCCTCATTATACAGGTGGGGTCTCTGGGACTGAGACTAATTATGAGACTTCCAAGTAGTTCCATTGTGAGTTTGCTGGTGAAACCCAGGCCCCTGATTATAGTTCACTGCTCCTTCTATTCTTCTCTGCTACCTGTATTCTCTAATTACCTGAAATAAAATATCACTTACATGGGGAATTTTCAAGTCAGCATTTGCAGTTTAGTCCATAAATTAAATTTTGTGTCTCATGAACCTTTCTGAATTTGGAATGTTTTTCCTGTCCCCTCTAATATGTTTCCACATAACTTTACCATGAAAGACAAAAGAAAGATATTTGTTTCTTTTCCAGGATAACTACTTTTCAGAACAGAAATAAAATAATCATTATCAGACTTACCCAACACTTTTGCAGATAAAGAAACTTTTCTAAGGCTGCAGAGATTAAATGGTAACTTAATTAGTGACAGTGTCTCCTCCAAAAGTTGGATTTTCTAACCCCCAATTCACTATTCCTCATTAAAGATCAGTGTGGGTTATTATTTTATTCTAATATAGTTATTAACTGCAGTGTTTTCAAATTAATACATATTTCCCCTTTCTGCTTACAAAACTTGCACCCAGCCTTGGAAGTAGACTAAGTAGGCAAGTTCTAATAATACCATCAAATATAAAGGATAGAAATGTTCCAGAGAGAGTGTTGAGATAGTATTGGTGCAGTATTTCTTGACTTTGGGGATTCATTCATTGATTCAGCAAATATTTATTGAGTACCTGTTAGATACTAGGCCCTACTATGGATCTGGGCTACAATAGTTAACAAAGAAGATCCTCCCCATCCCTGACCACCCCACCCAACCCTCCCTCCCACTCCCCAAAAAAGAAAACAGTTTTGCAGAACATTGTAGTCAGGAGAACAATGGGTTGGGGCTTAGAACTGGTTTGCAGTCTTAAAGAGGTTGCCCTGAGAAGGACATATGGAGCAAGCCATGTGGGTATCCAAGGGAATAATGTCCTAGGGAACAGCACGTGAAAAGGCTCTGACGCAGAGCATGCTTGGTATGTTTGAGGCGCAGAAAGCATGTTTATGACTAAAGTAGAGTAAGGAAAAGAATAGGAAATTACAACCTTGTAGGTTAACCCAAGACTTTGGGTTTTGCTTTGAGTGAAGTGGGCCTGGAGGGTTTTAAGCAGAAGAGTAAGTGCCTTTTAACAGTGCCACTGATCACTTTCTGGAGATTAAAACAAGGAGGGCAAAGGTGGGAAGCTGGGAGGCCAGGTAAGAGGTTTTAGGTATAATCCAGGTGAGAGATAATAATTTAAGCCAGTGTGGTAACAGTCAAATTCTGGATATGTTTTGAAGTTTAAGGCCTTAGAATTCACAGATGGATCAGAACCATCTACCAGTGAGAGTGGGGGAGTGAAGAGGAGATGGCTCCAGAGTTTCTGGCCTGAGCAGCTAATAGAGTTACATTGCACTGAAATGGGATTGTGGTGTGCATATTCAAGGAGAAAGGTCATGGAATGTTAGGTTTCTGTTACATATCCAACAATACATGTTGAGTAAGCAATGTTATATACAGGTCTGGAGATCAGGGAGAAATCCAGACTGGACAGAGGAGAGCTGCCTATGTGGTCCAGACTTTTACTTAAGATATGTGAATCTAAACAACTACACTGTTGAATATGTCTGGTTAGTAGGAACAGTCTCATTTACTATGTAGTTTAATAGCGTACATTACCAATCTTTCTAGGGTATATTTTTTAGTAAAATGTCACAAAGTAACACTTGCTAAATGTAAGGTATCATTTAAATGAAATATAATTTTAATCTTATCTGATTTGTAAAATCAAATATTATTTAACACAAAATAAAAATATAGCTTAAAGTCTTAGAAACATTTTGCTATGAGGCCTAACTTTTGTCATGGACTCTGCCTTAAATATATAGAAATTTTTAATACAGTGTCTAACATTTACCTGAGATTTGAATTAGTTATTTATGTTCTATTCTGGCTTTTTTCATTTTATACTCCATCTCCTAAAATCCTTAATAAAAGCTATTTTTTTCTTCTTTTAGCAGTCGTATTCTCTATGTAGAATTTAATTTTTATATTCCTTTCTTTTTAAATATCATAGTAATACATAATATAAAATTCTAAATCATATATATATATTATATACATCATATGTATATGCCTGCTTTAAAAATATTTTTAGTAATGTTTATGGTTAAATTTTAATATAAAAATAAAGATATCCTATGTAAAATAAAGAAAAACATTAATCATATATGGTATGTTACTTTAAATTAGAATTATTCATAGTAGCTATAAATGTAGTTAAAATATATTGTATATAAAGTAGTAATACTTGAAATAATTTCTCTTTTTGCTATAGAGAATTACATAGGATATCTTTATTTTTATATTAAAATCTAACCATAAACACTACCAAAAATATTTTTAAAGCTAGCATATATATATATATATATATATATATATATAGGATTATAATTTTATATTAAAATTATTCTGTTATCAAGTGACTAAATTAAAGTTGCATTTTAATTAAATCAGCATAGTTATTCTTTATCCAAAATGGGTATCTCCTTATGCTAGTGACTATGAATATTTATAATGTAGACAGAGAGGAATCATATATAAAAAGCCACCTCAAACTTGTGAGCAATGTAAATCAATGAATCAGTGTTTATAGTATTGATACTAATTGTTCAGAGATGAGTAGAGATTGGTCAGTGTAAGTTTCATCAAGAGGTTAGTTTTGAACCAGGATTTAAATCTGTGTGAGGGAAACTGAACAAAAGAAATCAAACTTCAAATTAACTACTTTTAATTGGTCATGCGTGGGCATATACATGTATGTGAGTATTTTTAATTTTATGTATGAATCCTCACCCTAACCTAAAGGCTACAAGGTGAGTGAGTACTCAAGGACAATGGTCTGTGGTGTATGTATAGAAGTGAAAGGAAAGGATAAGGTTTATTAGATAGAACCTGTATTTTCTCTTATTTGATGATAAAATGGGGTTAGTTCCCAGGTTTTTTAATGGTCAAATGGGATAATGTTGTGAAAGGTTCTCTGGAAGTAATACCGAAATGTTTGATAGTATTACTATAACCTACACTTTATGATAAGAAAAAGAGATGATATTTATTTTAGAGTCCACATAAATATTTTTAAAAATGAAAAGTGTTCTGTATAAAGCTTCCTGTGTCCTCAGTATATCTCAGTTTTCAATTATTGTCTATTTCACATATTACAAAATGCAGGTTCCTTTTGAAAAAGAATTATTTCTTACCCTCTTTTATTCTTTGCTCATATTCTAAGTTTAATACTAAGTTAACTACTATTTTCTAATGTTTTCTTTTTTATCTGAAATTAGTTTTTACATAATTTAATTTGTTGAAGACACTTGTCAGATGTGCAGTATCCAGTTACTAATTTTTCTCTCAATGTTGCTGCTCGTCTCCTCAGATGAGTGAAATCATCTATCAAAATTCCTATTTATTCAGTAACCCAAATTGATGTTTGTGAATAAAATTTTGGTTTCTAAACCAGTATCTTCATGGTAGATGAATATATATCAATTATAATTATGTAATTCAAAAATATTTTTCCATCAAAACTATGACATTTTTTAAAAGCTTTTATAAAATGAAGGTAGGTGGTACATTTGATAAGACTAAATGATTATCATGTCATTGCCTGCTGGAGAAAATGTCACTGTAAGCAGTTTTTTTTCTTTATGTTGTATGTAGATGAGGATTTTTCTTTATTTTGAGATGTATGAAAATAATAAAATTTTCTAATTCCTCTTTGGTAGAGCTGGAGTGGACCGGAGAAATTGCTTGCTTTAGATGAACTCATTGATAGTTGTGAACCAACCCAAGTAAAACATATGATGCAAGTGATAGAACCCCAGTTTCAACGAGACTTCATCTCGTTACTCCCTAAAGAGGTAAGGGTGATCGCTTATATTCTTCCTTTTGTGCTATTTGAGAATGTAACAGTTACCACCTTTAAACATTATCATCCTTTGGTATCCAGTATTGACAGTTTAACCCTGTTAATTAGCACTAAAGAGGGCTGTAAATGAGAACCTGCCATGAATTAATAATATAATTTTCATATTAATGTATACTTATGGACTGAATGACTTCTTCCTACCCCTGGAACAAGTCATTTATGGGAATAAGCTATTGAATTTCATTAATTTGATTGTTTCTTACCAAGATTTTTTTCTCAGGTTATTTGAAACCCAATGTTTAGTTTTCTTGGTATGTTCATTATAGTAGTAGACTTTCTAAAAATACCGATTTTATTAAAACAACAATATTTTTTTTGGTTGTTTGTTTATCCTAAGTCCCTTTGAAAGTGATAATTTTGTGATCTATTGGAATTGTGATTTTCTGTTACTTACATTGTATATTGAAATACATGGAATTTCACATGTATGTCTTTTTCTACTAATCATCCCACTTTTCATCCCCATCTCTCTCTCTCTCTCTCTCTCTCTCTCTCTCTCTCTCTCACACACACACACACACACACACACACACACACACAATTATGGATTCCCATGCCAGTTGCATTCTTATAGCATTTCTTTTGGAATTAAAAAAAATATATATTTTTAGAGAGATAGGAAGGGAGAAGGATAGAGAGAAACACTGATGAGAGAGAAGGGAGAAACATTCATTGATTGCCTCCTGCATTTCCCCTATTGGAAATCAAGCCCACAACATGGGCATGTACTCTGACTGGGATTCAAACCTGTGACCTCTTGATTCATGGGTCAACACTGAACCACTGAGACAGATCAGCTGGGCTCTTTTGGAATTTTGTATGCCTATCAGTTTTTTACTTTATGTAAGCTGACACTTTTTTAATTATAGATTGATTATGATCATGTGGGCATTCTTGACTGTATAGATGAGGCATGTTTTAATTGTAGTTTTTGTTGATCTTATAAGCTACATAGTTTCATTTTTGTCAGCGAAGAGAAATAGTATACCATTAAATAATCAATGTCATCATATTTTCACGAAGTATATTTTTGCCACCTACATGTAAATTAAGAAGACTAATATGCTGTTGCAAATGATCCTTAAACTTTAAGTTTGAAGAGAAGCAGTTTGGTTTTTTGAGTTGGTTTTTTGTTTTGTTTTGTTTTCAGATAACCATTCTGAAAATATCTCAAAGGCATTAAAGAAAGTCTCAATAATAATTTCATATTATATACGAATGAAATAATTTCATTGTATTTAATGTACAGCATAATTTCAGGAAAAAGCAAAGTAGGAAAAACACCTCATTCCTGAAATGTTCTTTAGAGTTTTTTTTTTTTTTTTTTTTTAATGACATTCTCCCAGAAAAAAAAAACTTTCATTCTTGCTGGTTCATTCTAAAACAGAATCCTTTGAATAGATTTGGCTTATGAAAGTGACATAAGCCCTTTTTGCCTCTAGAAGGATATTAATAATAGGAGACGCTTTTTGATAAGTATTTAACTGAAACTGAATTTATTCACCTTTGATATACACGTCATAGTTTCTTTGATTTTTATTTTATTTTAGAAGGTAGTATTTTTTGTTGAAAGATAGACTTTCTCTTGGTCTAGTTTTTCCCCTTATCTCTGAGAATGATGGATTTTTGTTTTATCTTTATTTGTATTTCTACTTTTTAACAAAAAGTTGATTTTAACAAAACTGATTTTAAGTATGAACGGATTTTTAAGAGTCTAAGAATTAAGCACAAATAAAACTTTTTGGATTAAGTGTTCAAGATTGCCTGAGGAAAAAGAAGTGAGGCTATGTTGGGGATTAAGAGTGAGCCCAGACTTAGAATAGCATCTATGTTTCCCCCTCTTTTTTCCCAACTACTAGAAAAAAAAATTTCTATTTTGAAAAATGGTTTATGTTATATGTGAAGAAATCCTTTATAATAAAAGCCTAATATACAAATTGTCCCCTCCACTGGGAGTTCAACCCGGCGGTGGGCTGGCCATCCAACCACCCATGACCCCTCTGCCTGGCCGGCCTGGCCTGATGGGGGCGGGCCAGCCAAACCCTACCTGTGCACAAATTGGTGCACTGGGCCTCTAGTAATGGTATATGTCCTTAAGAAAATGAATATTATTTTATTAGAGACTAAGTACTATCATTATTTAAAACATTTCCTTCATGTCAGGAAATGGACATATAATTTATTACAATTTATTTAAACAGATCTTAAAGTTCTTTACCAACATTTGCTTATTAATCTCAAAAAACTTGCCAAAACCCCACTAGTCTCACTCAAGAGGCTTATGATAAACAGCATTATCCTTATTTTGTAAAAGTATGGTGATATAATAGATGGTTTAAAACAAACCTAAATTCTTAACCTAGGATCAGCCACTATTTTCTTTATTCTTTATTCTTTCACTAATTTAATCCACTGAAATATAGCAATTCTGGAAAGGTATTAGTTACCTTTAACTATAATATGGTAATCTTTTATATAGCTTATACAGAAAAACAAAAAAAAGCAACTCTCATTGAAATTAAAAATATGAGCAAGGAGAGGTAATTACCTGAAACAGACTATCAATTTAATAGCATCTATCTGGTGGAAGTGGTCCTTTTAGAAAGAATAACTAATCTAGATTTTACCTTTAAGACAAACAGATAGAAAACTACATTAGCTAGACCATGCTAATGTCCCCTATAAGGAACCTCACATGACAAATCTTTGCTTGCTTGAGGAACTGGTTTATTTTCCCATAGCCCACATGAAGAATTGTATAAGTAATTGCTGTTCTCTTTTTGCTTGACAATTTAATTTAAAGACCATATAAAATATTGTTGCCAGCATATTTATGTTCTACTTTATCCCTAACTTAAACCTTCTTTTCTAATTTATATTTTTTCTGCTTCTGATTTTTTCATGCATATTTTCCCATTTTGCTGTGTGCATTTTCTGTAATACCTAGATGTTTTCATGGAACTGGCTAGATATAAATAGAAAAACATTTACTACATTGAAGTTCATGGTTGAGTTCCTTTGCTATTTTAAAGTGTGCCCCTTACCTGTGGAGTTAGCACTTCAACTTTCTTTAGTACATGAATATTTCTTTGTTTTTATCTGTAAATGCATGCAAACATAGGCCTAGATGACCTCTTAGTCACTAGTAACAAAGGAACTTTTACCCGTTGACTTTGGGATATCCCAGCAATTTTCACCCTTTTTCATCTCATGGCATACATAAACTACTTTCTAAAATTTTGCAGCACACCAAAAAAAAAAGTTATTTTTTGCTGATCTGACCAAAAATAGGCATAATTTTGATTCATTTAAACCAGATTGCTATTATTGTATTAGCTGTTATCATTTTTTTATTTGACAATGTAAGGGAAAATAGGTCAGTGCCCCTAACTAGTCAGGTATTGCATGTTTTAAAAATTCTGTGGCACAGTAGGTGCCTGCCATAGCACACCCATTAAAAATCTCTGGGATATACCTTTGAAATCTGAGCTACTCTGGATTTGTTTCCTAGCCTTTAAAATGGAATATTTCATTAAATTATTCGATTTCTACTCAGCTAGAAAACTAAAGCAAAGAATAGACCTTTTTTCATATGACCATTCTAAAAACCTTGTGTATCTTTTACACAAATATAATTTTGTTCCTAATAATTTCTGTGCTAAATATCAGTAACACATGGAAAATTAATAATGTGGTATCACATTACTGTTATGCTGACTCAAAGCAAAGTTGCCTAGGCTTTGATAGATAATTTCAAAATTAAGTGGCTTATGAAGTATTCATTAAAAAACTACATTGTTGATCTGTACATACATTGTTGAATATAGTTATACCTTATTATTTTAAATAATTCAGTTTCTGTTTATGGTACTGGAATATCTTTTCTGACAGACCAAAAATAATTATTCCACAAAGTTTTCTACTGTCATTAGTCAATATTAGTAGTAAATTAAATACTGACTAGTTGAAGTATTCTCTATATAGAATGTACTCAGTAAATTTGTGATTAATGATGGAATTCCATACATATAAATTTATTGGGAAAGCTTAATTTATATCATGTAATTTTTATCTAGCATTAAAAAATAATTCAAATTGTACTTTTACTCCTTTATGTGGCCTTTGGCCCTTTAAATGATAGTTTGTTTTAATCCTTGTAATTTAATTTATATGAAAACTAAATTTTGTTGCTCTGTTTATTTTTTTTTATTGCTCTGTTTAGATTATTTTTCCTACTATTATAATTTAGTTTCCGTGTGATTTGTGTAGCTAATTGAATAAGCATACTCAGAAGCTTTCATTCCCCCTCCTTTTTTTTTTTTTTTTTTTCCTTTTTCCATTTCCTTTATTTTAAATGACTTTACACAATGAAAAAGAAATTGATGATTTGCAAGTATTGGAAATAAAATTTTTAAATCTATAAAGAGCTGGCCCTCCAAGAAAATCCCCTTAAACAATGTCAAATAATTAGCACCCAATTACTTTTGTGTGTCTATGGGGTTTGGTAATTGTCCCCTTTTGTCACATATAAGTAAAAGGTGGAAATGTGTGAAAAGTTCATCATTGTGTTAAAAACACTTTGAGGTGATAAAGAACTATTAATTATATCTATCAAAAGTGATCTCAAATCATATCATGCAGAATATAAAGAGATCTTATTTCTTACCTTATATCCTGTCTTGGGTGAATTTATATTGCCCTGGGGAGATAGAGAAGACAACATTTAAATAACTAATAAAATAGGTAGGTGGTAGATAAAATTGAGTTGAGAGACTCAACAAAGGCAAGAGCAGAGGGTGGAGGTTTAATAATTATTCCTTGAAGAGGTGAGGAGTTAATGGAGTGAAGCTCATAAATTAGAATGTAGAATTGCATTACATTTATCTATAAGTGCTTTCCCCATAGAGAATACATATTATTTTTATGTATTTGAAAATATGAGTATTCTATGCTTTTTCTTTCCATAGTTGGCACTTTATGTGCTTTCATTCCTGGAACCCAAAGACCTGCTACAAGCGGCTCAGACATGTCGCTACTGGAGAATTTTGGCTGAAGATAACCTTCTGTGGAGAGAGAAATGCAAAGAAGAGGGTAAGGTTTCCATAGGGAACATTTTCGAACTCTGAAAAAGCTAAGTGATTCTGAAAACAAATGGAAAAGCGTAAGTTTTATGTGCAAGTAGAATAAAGTGATGGGTAAATGGAAAAAGAGAACTTTTGGCAGCCTATCAGGGAATCAAAAATGAGTGTTCATCTGCATGCACCTACTTACATAAAATCCACAGGTTATTCCACATGTTAAAGTGAGTCAAATCTTGCAGCTAATCCCTTTATTTATTTATTTTTTAAATATATTTTATTGATTTTTCACAGAGAGGAGGAGAGAGAGAGATAGAGAGCTAGAAACATCGATGAGAGAGAAACATCAACCAGCTGCCTCTTGCACATCCCCTACTGGGGATGTACCCGCAACCAATGTATATGCTCTTGACCGGAATCGAACTTGGGACCTTTCAGTCCTCAGACCGATGCTCTACCACTGAGCCAAACCGGTTTCGGCACAGCAGCTAATCCCTTTAAAGAACACTATAACTCATTACAAGTGTGTGAAAAAGTCAAGATGAAGATGACTTAAAGGAAATCCAAAGATATATTAGCAATTAAATACTCAAATATTCTATATTCTCTTTGTTTCTCCATAAATATTTTTTGGACATCTCTTATGTTTAGTGTTTTTGAGGAACCACCATACTATTTTCCATAGCAGCCACTCCATTTTATATTCCCACAAGCATTGCATTAAGGTTTCAATTTCTGTACTCCTCACCAACATTTCATAGAATCATTTTGAGAAAGAAATGAAATTGTTGATATAAAAGAGCACCATACAAATGACAAACTTTACATTATTTTGTTTTGTAAAACAGTGTTAGAAATTAGACAATGCCTGCATTTCGGTGATTTTCAGCATGGGGGGGGAATGAAGTACATTATAAAATGTGTAATATTTATTATTGATGAAGGCAATGATACTCTTTAATTCTTTAAAACTAGGTATTGATGAACCATTGCACATCAAGAGAAGAAAAGTAATAAAACCAGGTTTCATACACAGTCCATGGAAAAGCGCGTACATCAGGCAGCATAGAATTGATACTAACTGGAGGCGAGGAGAACTCAAATCTCCTAAGGTAACTGAACTCGTGCGCAGTGTAACAGAATCCATTAATCAGTGTTAGTACCTACTGTGTTTTATAACTTGACACCTATTTCCAGAAACAAAGAAAACAATGTATTTTAAAATAACTGTAAGCATAACCGACAATATTTTTCTATTGTGAATCTCTTTAGTCTGACAACTCATTGTCTTGAATAAAAGATGAGTTGATTGGTATTTGGTTCTTATGCCAAGGAAAAACTTTCTGAATATCCTGTTGAATTTTGTGTCATATACATTCCACCTAAGAATTTGCTCCAATCTCTGATCATATAGTCTGAATATGATTTTTGAGAAGTGCCTATATTTTGGTTTTGTGGCTTTTGTGTTTCATTTTTTAAATTTAACTTCTGATTTTTTAACATAACATTTCAAGTATACAAAAAATAGCAAAAATGCATAAAATTCTAAGCAATTTGGGGAGATACTGTTATACTCCTATGCATACATTATGATGGGCTTTTTATGTTTTGAGTTAAAAAGTTGATGATTATTCTTGTCTTCCTAGTTAATAGGTGCTTTTGTTTTTGTGTCTCAAATTATAAAACTTAGATACATATTCTTTTGGTTTGAACAAGTAAAATAGATGACTATAAAATACATTTGTGTTTGAACCATCCTTATGAGATCTTGACCCGGTAAAATTATAACAGTTGATGTCTCAAGTATAAATAATAGGTATGGAAACAACAAAAAGTTTAATACTTGATTCATCAATGAGGGTTGATGATGCTTCATATTTCATTTAAACTTTAATTCTAGAAATAGACTACAGATTACTGTTCCTGTTTATGGCTTCATTTTTTCTTTTCACCAGTATTTTAAAAGATATAATTTTGTAACATTTCTAACTTATACCTCTACCTCCTAGGTGCTGAAAGGACATGATGATCATGTGATTACTTGCTTACAGTTTTGTGGTAACCGAATAGTTAGTGGTTCTGATGACAACACTTTAAAAGTTTGGTCAGCAGTCACTGGCAAAGTAAGTTTACTTCTCTCTGCACATCACAAAGTCACTGTTTTGTGTATATCTTTGCAAAGATCAGCCAGTGAAAGGAAAACAAGAACTCATTTTTGTCTCTAGCTTATTTTAATAGCAAATATCAGAGCTTCTAATTTAGCTTCTCCCTTGGTGTGAAGATGATGTTTCTCGTGATAGGAATGTTATTAGTGTCTTCTTTATTTAAATAGTTTGTCTCTGTGATATACCTATTAAGATTTTAGAGATGTACTTTATCGTTTTCTTATTTTAATTTTTCCCTCCTTTCTAACTGTCTAAATTATATCTTTCTTCCTTTTTAATCTTTTTCAAAACTATGATTGAGGGATATTTGTTTTTCCTTATTCAACTGCTTTGTTGATAACCTACTTAGAGTTTAGCAGTTATACATAAATCATATTAATTTAGACTTATCTTAAACCCTATGAGATGGAAGGTAAGCAGACCAGGTATTAAATAGGAGTTTGATGAAAAAAAGCAGTCCAAGCAATCAATTTCCCTTAAACAATATTATATTTTAATGTGTCTCCAGTGAAGACTTATATTTATCTGTCCAATGGAGAATATTTTTATGAACTGACAACCTAAAAATAATGGAAGAAAGTATAGGGACAAAAATCTGTCTTTTAAAATGTTTTATCACATGTTGTTTCTTGGGCAAGAGTCTTCTAAATATTCCAAGTTAGATGTTAAAAAATTTTAAAGTAGCTTCATATTTCCACAGTTTAATGTTAGTTTTGGATTGACTTCAGGGCTTTAATGTCTGTCTTTACTTGTCTAGAAGAAATACCTTACCTGGCTCTTAACTACTGCCTTGTGGCAGATTGAGATGGAATGTGGTATGTAGCCACACCCAACACCATCGGCATTCTTTCATTGAATCCACTCCCATGAACAAAACCAAATTGCAATTTTAGTATTATTTCATCAAAGAGGCCAGGCTGGAGCTTTTATACTCTAATGATAACTGTTTACTTTCTATGTACTTGTTCCTCAGTTGTGTGTATGTATATAATATGTAGTGCTACTTAATAAAAATAAAAAAAAGCAATAAATAGCAATGGGGTCATATTATATTGATGTGAGAAATTATTTTCTGATATGCCAAATAATCCAATTGAGTTAATATAACTTTACTCCAAATTTTAATGAGCTACTGAAATGTTATTTAAATCATTTTTCTTTCTACCCAAAAGTAATCATCTTAAGTGTTTTTCCAGTGTCTGAGGACGTTAGTGGGACACACGGGTGGAGTGTGGTCATCACAGATGAGAGACAATATCATCATTAGTGGATCCACAGATCGGACTCTCAAAGTGTGGAATGCTGAGACTGGAGAATGTATACACACCTTATATGGGCATACTTCCACTGTCCGTTGTATGCACCTCCATGAAAAAAGGTGAGGGAAACGCAAGAAAGCAATAGTGTATTGGCTTGCAATTGAAGGGTTATCTTTACATTTCCTTTTTCATTTATTAGTGTTGTTCGTTTCCTCCTTAAAATTCTCTACTCTTGAATAACATCTGTATTTCTCTATACCTCTAATGACTCATCATCTTTAAAAAATATCAGTTTCTTTTTCTTTTTTCTCTTATATTTCTGCTAGTGAGACAGATTCAGCTATTCAGATTTCAAGACTCCAAGTCTTTTTAATTATGTACCTACACTACCCTCACTCCATCATACTCCCTGTATCTAGGCAAAAGCTGAGGCCTATGGTTTTTAATTTATTCTCTCATTACCTATTACCTGAATTATTGACACAGAGACCTAATCCTCTATTGTCTACCAAATCAAGGACATGATCCTCAATTAAATTTTCAAAATTATTTCATCAAATCAGACTGCTTTCTTTTTCCCCCTCAAGTGCCTTTGCTGTTTGTTTATCTTCTTCTACAAAGCCCTCCTATTTAAAGTCCTTTCTGTCTTCTATTGGCATGTCTTCATGGTAACTCACCCCCACCCCCATCAAACAGATGCGAATTCTATTCCATTTGTCAGAACAGGTCTTTATGAAGGGTCCTTTTAGTGTCTCTATTCCAGTCCTTACCTTTAACTTTGCCCATACCATCTTCTTTATTAAGAACCATAGCATTGAGCACATTTCACACTAGATTGGTAATATGTGAAGAAAAAGTATCTTTTCTATTGTAATTTGAGTCAGCTTTGAACAATGTACTCGACAACTAAAATTTAGGGCATTGTTATGAAGAGACCTTGCCTTTTAATTTCTATTAGTTCTGACTTAAATCTCTCAGTGATTCCATTTTCTACTCTTCCAAATGGAAACTGGCCTTTCTTTTTCTCTTAGGAGTGATATAAATATGCCTTTTGTTTTCAGCTCTCCTTTGTAATCCAGAGATGGTTGCCTTCTTTGTACCACTCTGGTCTTCAGAAGAGTGTAACTTCAATAATGTTGGGCCAAATTTTGAAGAAATTTATGTTGCCTCAACATAAGTGTCTTCTAAAATCTCTATATTATAATGCCCTATATAGCTGTTGAATACTTATAAGCATATGCAGCCTTTGAGGATATGTCTAAGACTGGTTCATTTTACCTGTATGTAGGGTGTAAAGCACATACCTTTTAAAACACAATCCAGTAGTTTTCAGACTGTCCCACAGAACCCCAAGGAGTTGCTTGATCTCTCACAAGTGGAGAACCAAACCAGCCAAGTCTAGGTTCCTCAACTTCCCATCCCAATCAGAGTAACTCAACTTTCTTATTTTTATATATCAGGGTTTTTACATAGGAGTTTTTAAAAAAATACTTAAAAGAAAGAAAAGGTTTTAATAATCACTGACTTTATATATAATGCTTTTTCATATTATTAAAAATTGTAATACTTTTTTTTTCCTTTTCTGTTTTCCTTCCTACAGAGTTGTTAGCGGTTCTCGAGATGCCACTCTTAGGGTTTGGGATATTGAGACAGGCCAGTGTTTACATGTATTGATGGGTCACGTAGCAGCGGTTCGCTGTGTTCAATATGATGGCAGGAGGGTTGTTAGTGGAGCATATGATTTTATGGTGAAGGTGTGGGATCCAGAGACTGAGACCTGTCTACACACGTTGCAGGGGCATACTAATAGAGTCTATTCATTACAGGTAAGAGATCTTATCCCTCCTACCCCTTAGATGCTCCTCTGGTGAATCACAAGATAGTTTTACTCAGATAACCACTGTCAAATTGTTGATCAAATGTAGTCTAAAGAAGACTGATCAGATTACCTGTTGTTTACATGTATTTTAAAATTAGCATGAAGAAAACATAAATCTTGAAATTATTTATATGATTTGTTTTAGTTTTTTGTGATTGATTTCCCCGCCAAAATATAAATATTTGTCTTGGAACCTGGGATTTTGGAGCCCTAAGCTTTTTGCTATATTAATTAATGGGTAGATAGTCTCATAGGAGAATAACCCAGATTTTTATAAACTCCTTAGTAGAGGATTAATTTGGCCAAAAGCCGCTCCTTTTCCTTGATAGCTGGAGGTTGATGGACCATGTAATTGTGATTCCATCCCCATTCAGAGGAAAAGTGGAGCCTTCCTGCATAAACTCCATTCTCGTGGGGCTGATTATCAGTCATAAAGAAAAAAAATCACTAGGTTTTTTTTTTCTGTGCATTTGAACCTGATGTCCTTGGATAGATTGCCATATTTTGAGATAAATAAATTAATAGCAAGTTTAGAAAATGGGTCTTATTTTACTTTCTGAAAGACGGCATTTCCATTAAAAAATATTTCCAATTATTTATATAGTTCATTTAACAGTTATTGCCCATTAGTGATCAGCAAATTAGTACATAGTCCCAGTGCTGACCTGTTTTGGGGGTATTTGTTTCTTAATTGATAGAATACTGACCATGCCACAAGATATTAACACATAATAAAGATGTTTGTTAGCTTAGAAAAGGTTATTCATTTGAAGAAGGGGGAATTGGCTCACCTGTTTTTATGTTTTGTGATATACTCAGAACCTTAATGAATATAATAGTCTTATTTAAATAAACCATTAGGTTTAGAAAAAAGGTAGGAACATTGGTATAGATCTGGGAATTAGTAAATACTTAGTGATTTTGGGTATAACTGGGAAGCAGGAAAAGTGCTGTGTAGTTTACTTTTATTATAGACGTGCCACCTCTTCTAATTCCAAATTTAACTATCTATTGACACATTTTCTAATTAGCATTTAGGATAATAAGTGAAATTTTATTTTACATACAATTTTTAGTGGAACTATCTTTCAAACATCACGAAAGTTATCTCTAGCCCTTTTAATGCCATAAGCGTTGATAGGCACACCCTTTATCACAAGATGTATCAGTACTTTCAACTCCCTATAGGAAAATAAAACTTGAATGGTAGTCCTTGTTAAATTGTCCATAGAATGTGGCTACTGTACTACATGTGGCTATGTAGTCAGATGATCTGAAAGTAATGTGTTCATTTTAGGTGTTGTGTTTCTTTTTAATTGTTTTGCATCTTTCGGATGGGAGCTTCTGAGAAGGTGTACTTAGAGTTGCTTGATTACATGCAGTTTATCCTAGTACCTCATTTGTTCTTGGTATTACTTGTCCTCCTTGCCCTAATCTACCTCTCCCCCCCCCCCATTAAGATTAAGGTCAATAGGTAATATCAAGAATATCCACACATCTAGTCTAATACACTGTGTTTGTTGTAGTTTGATGGCATCCATGTGGTGAGTGGATCTCTTGACACATCAATCCGAGTGTGGGATGTGGAGACAGGGAATTGCATCCACACGTTAACAGGACACCAGTCGTTAACAAGCGGAATGGAGCTCAAAGACAACATTCTTGTCTCTGGGAATGCTGACTCTACAGTTAAAATCTGGGATATCAAAACGGGACAGTGTTTACAAACATTGCAGGGTAAGTATTGGCTACCCCCTTTTAGTTGTGTTTGTTAAAAATTAGATTGTTAGTCAAAAGACAAATATGGAGCTTTCGTGTCACAAAAAGAGTTAACCTCATACAAAATGAAAATGCTTATTTTGGATAAGCTTATGAGCATTTCCACTCTTGACTTGACAAAACAAGGCTACCTTGAAAAAGTATGTTAAATTGTGTGTTTAATATAAGATGTAAATTGTGGTTTTTTGATATAAAATTATTTAAACCACCTCCTATATGTACAGTCAACTCTACTCAATCTTGGAGGTATCACAGAAGCAGCATGTTCATTTTATTATTTGAGTGATCATTTCATTTTGAACTTGTAGTCCAATTTTAAATTGAAGAACTGTCTTGCTGGGGGTGGGGAGCTCTCTAATCTGATAGAAAGTTGCTTTAGTCTCAATTTATACCCTTAACCATCTGCTTAACCAAATGGGAAAGAATGATAGTGCCCACTCAACAAGAGAAAGAAAAAGGTGAAAGCTACCATTATTAAATGATTACATCATGATTATGTAATCTTACATCATGACTAATTTCTTCATATTGGTCACAGCCCCTTAGAATGTGTTTATTTGTTTTCAGTGAGGCCATCTGGTAGGTCGGCCATATTGCAGCTTTTTACTCATTGGCTTTGTCTCTTTCTCAGAGTTTTGGAGTAGTGTCCAGTCAGCCTTTGCCCTTGACTGGCCAGTCCAAAGCAGTAGGGCAGTCGGTCTCTTATGCTCGTATTCCTCACAGAGTCCATGATGCTGGGCTATCTCCGCCATCACTAAGAAGAATTCTCATTTCTGCAGCCAGAAAGCAAATGTGTAGCTAACCACGCTTCTTGGAAGACAGAACTCTTGAAAGTTAACGCTTCAGTTATAAACGCCTACCAGATTTTCTTACATCCCTGCTGATCCTAAAATACTCAGAGCACAGTTTCTAAATATGCAGCATTTCAAATATTCTGTGTATTGCATGTTCTATCGTAGAAGCCTATAAAATTACAAGGTAACTAACTCGTAGCCGTGAGTTCTAACCAGTAATTAAATCCCTTTGGTTTTGCCTAGGTCCCAACAAGCATCAGAGTGCTGTGACCTGTTTACAGTTCAACAAGAACTTTGTAATTACCAGCTCAGACGATGGGACTGTAAAACTGTGGGACTTGAAAACGGGTGAATTTATTCGAAACCTAGTCACATTGGAGAGTGGGGGTAGTGGGGGAGTTGTGTGGCGGATCAGAGCCTCGAACACAAAGCTGGTATGTGCTGTTGGGAGTCGGAATGGAACTGAAGAAACTAAGCTGCTGGTGCTGGACTTTGATGTGGACATGAAGTGAAGAGCAGAAAAGATGAATTTGTCCAAATGTGTAGACAATATACTCCTTGCCCTTCCCCTCTCCCCCTGCAAAAAGAAAAAAAAAAGAAAAAGGAAAAAAAAAGAAAAGAAAAAGAAAAAAAATCCCTGTTCTCAGTGGTGCAGGATGTTGGCTTGGGGCAACAGAATGAAATGACCTACAGACTAAGAAGGAAAAGAGGAAGAGATGACAAACCGTAACTGACAAGAGAGGCGTCCGCTGTCTCATCACATACGAAGGCTTCACTTTTGACTGAGGGCAGCTTTGCAAAATGAGACTTTCTAAATCAAACCAGGTGCAATTATTTTCTTTATTTTCTTCTCCAGTGGTCACCGGGCAGTGTTAACACCGAAACATCGTCACAGATTCTGCGCGTCTGTTCTCTTACCACTGAGACCTTCGAAAGGAGCTCTTAGAAAGGAGCTGCAATAACATTGGAATAAGTATGGTTGACTTTCTAATCAGAGAGCATCTTCAACAAAAGTCATTTTTCTGGAGTGGAAAAGCTAAAACAATATATATTACTGTGAATTGTTTTTGTACAGTTATCATGAAAAGCTTTTTTTTTTTTTTTTTTTTTTTTGCCAACCATTGCCAATGTCAATCAATCACAGTATTAGCCTCTGTTAATCTATTCACTGTCGCTTCCACATACACTCTTCAGTGCATATGTTGCTCAAAGGTGGCAAGTTGTCCTGGGTTCTGTGAGTCCTGAGAGATGGATTTAATTCTTGATGCTGGTGCTAGAAGTAGGTCTTCAAATATGGGATTGTTGTCCCACCCCTGTACTGTACTCCCAGTGGCCAAACTTATTTATGCTGCTAAATGAAAGAAAGAAAAAAAAAAAAGCAAATTATTTTTTTTTATTTTTTTTTCTGCTGTGACGTTTTAGTCCCAGACTGAATTCCAAATTTGCTCTAGTTTGGTTACAGGAAAAAAAAAAAAAAAAAGACTTTTTTGCCACTGAAACTTGAACCATCTGTGCCTCTAAGAGGCTGAGAATGGGAGAGTTTCAGATAATAAAGAGTGAGGTTTGCCTGCAAGTAAAGAACTGAGAGTGTGTGCAAAGCTTATTTTCTCTTATCCGGGCGAAAATTAAAACACATTCCTTGGAACAGAGCTGTTGCTGCCTGTTCTGTGGAGAAACTTTTCTTTTTGAGGGCTGTGGTGAATGGATGAACGTACATAATAAAACTGACAAGATATTTTAAAAATATATAAAACACAAAAGTAAAATAAAGTTGCTGGTCAGTCTTAGTATTTTACAGTATTTGGGGAAACAACTGTTACAGTTTTATTGCTCTGAGGAACTGACAAAGCAGAAACGATTCCGTTTTTGTAGTAAAGGCGTCACATGCAAACGAACGAGATGAATGAAAAAGTCACATGGTTTGCCTCATTCTCCAAGAGCCACAACTCAAGCTGAACTGTGAAAGTGGTTTAACACTGTATCCTAGGCGATCTTTTTTTTTTCCTCCTCCTGTTTATTTTTTTGTTTGTTTTATTTATAGTCTGATTTAAAACAATCAGATTCAAGTTGGTTAATTTTAGTTATGTAACAACCTGACATGATGGAGGAAAACAACCTTTAAAGGGATTGTGTCTATGGTTTGATTCACTTAGAAATTTTATTTTCTTATAACTTAAGTGCAATAAAATGTGTTTTTTCATGTTAGTATGCCTGTTTCTTTCCCTGGGGTCATAATGCTTGATTATAAATATTTAGGGTTTGTCTCTCATCATTAAAAGAGCCAAGTCTTGCTTTCTTTGCGTTCCCTAGTGTGACTTAGAGATCAGTGCTTCCCGGCCCATGTGATACTAAAGTAAGAGTGATGTAGTGTGAGTGCAGGTTTTCTTCCTCTCCTTACACTCCAAAGGATGCTCCACTGGGCTCGTCTCTGAATTACCTTGGGATGTATAACCAAGCAGCAAAAATCACAAAATTTGTGACCGCTATAACTTGAAATTTCATTTTAAGAATTTGACCACATCTTGCAAATGTGGTCACAGCACATTACAAGCACCAGGAATTTTCTGTACGTGATCTGTGGGGCTCCCACCACCCTGGGAAGTAGGTACAGTTAAGTCCTCACTCAACAATGTCCAGAGGTTCTGCAACTTGAAGCAAAATGACATACAAGGAAACCACTTTTACTGCAGGTTAATTGATATAAGCAAGTTACATTCCTATGGCATCTGTCAATATTAAAACAAAACAACCTTGAACAAAGTGATGTTATACGAGGACCTGCTGTATTATGGTCTTCATTGTAACGATGAGAGTGCAACTGCAGCTCAGACTTGTTAGGCAACTTGTTGGAAGTCAGATAACTAGTGGACTTTAAGAAGAAACATCTAGAATTTTGGCCAAAGCAAGGCTGTGGTACTTTCAGGCTCTTCTGCCCCCATTTTATGTGGTACATCTAATATAAATGAAAAAAAAAAAATGAAGTCAGTTATTCAAATGATTAGTTTCAAATAGCAGGTTTTTTCTTCCCCATATATGCATATATGTGGCTATACTTGTGCATTTATAAATATAAAATCTCCAGTAATCTCAGCTCTCCAAGCCATAGGTGAAAATCAACAAAATGGATGCTTCTTAATGAATGAAGTTCTCACAAAGCATATGTTCTTTACTCATAGGGCCTCACTTTCCCAAAACTACTAAGTCACCACATCTAGGAATGGGACCCACGTCTCTGCATGTACACTAGCTCACCAGGTGAGTTATGGACACAACTTCGAGAGCCACTGCCTTTGATACCTTTCCAGTGTGGATGGTGATTTGGTTTATTAGTTCACACACATTACAAGCACTAGGATATCAGGGAGGAGTGACAAGTTACAGGAAAAGACTTAAGAACTGTGAACACAGCAAAAATCCTGAGGCCGTGAAGTGCAGGGGCCAGCGGCCCTCCCAATTCGAGGGTAAACACTGACTCTTCATTAACTGACTCATTCGTTAGAAGACAGTGAATTCACAGGTTTGTAGACAAATAGGCCTGAATTCAACTCTCTGTTCTAATACTACTTTCTAGTAATGGGACGATCTTCCTCAGATTTTTTTTTTGACCTCACGTTTCATCATCCAGAATGTAAAGAATACCCCCTTCTAAGGTTACTGTAGGGATTAAATGAAATGTTGCCAAGTATATAGCACGCATATGATACTTAGAGTTCGATAAATGGTAGCTACTATTAGAACTTTAGGAAAATTGACCCAGATGATTGTAATTTCTGTATCTGGGAACAATTGAATGTGTTCATGACTCATCCAGGAATGTAATAAAAATAGCATTTCTATATGTAGCAGTTTACATTTTTTAGAGTAAAGTCACGTAAATGTCTAATTTGATTCTTATCAAAACCTTGTGAGGTAGACTGATATGGAGCACCTAATGGCAATTTTGTACATACTTAGGTGTTCACTTTTTTATTCATAAATGACTAATCTTTATTATTGTTTCCAGAAGAGAAAATGTTAACCTCATTCTAAAGAAATTATTGTCATTATACTAAGAAAGGTCACGAAGGGGACTCTGCTTTGTGACCTCCTTAATGAAGATATTCACCACCTTCTATAACTGAATTTTTACATCTTCGTATCAGAATATAAGCTGTCTCCACATTTAGATGTCACTAGTTCCCAAAGATCAGACATTGCCTGAAACTAAAGCTAAAATTGGGTCACAAAGGTAACCCATAAAAGCCCGAAGCAAATGTTCAGTGAATACTTGTTGAATTGAGTAAAGGGAGTCTCTCAGTCTCTCTCTTTCGCTCGCTCTTTCTCTCTCTTTCTTCCTATCTCCCCCCCATCCCCATCTCATTGGAAGTGTTTTAATTTTGACACTTGGACCCTCTTACTGAGATTCAATAACCACAGCTATCATTAATTTGCAACAGCAACTGCATACCAAATTGTTAAGTTAATATTTCAACCTACCTATTGGTTTAATTTTAAAAAGTAATTGACATTTAATTATTTGTTTTAACTGTTTTTAAGCAGGTTTCTTTATGCCTTTTGAGCCTGTCTGTTATAAAGTCTCCTTTCTATTATATTTCTCTGACTTGATAAGAGTCTAAATCAAACAACAGGAAAAGACCTCTGCTTTTCCCTGAGGTGAGCCAGGATCAAGGGCAGCCTCCCTAGACCCCCGTGGTGCCTTGCTCTCTGCACGCTTTTCCCTGCACTCACTGCATGGTGTGGAACAAAGGGATGGGGTAGAGGAGAGAAGATACTCAAAGGAGTCTGCCCAACTCCATCCTCCTCCTGTGCTTCCTTCCAGTCCACGTTGAAACCAGAAACAAGCAGTTTGTCAGAGCAGGAATAGATTCATGCGTTTTTCTGATTCCTGTCCTCAGACACTCCTCTTCATTCTTTTTCCTTCTATTAGTCATCCCCAACCCCCAGAGTCAGGATTGGAACCTGTGCTCCATCAGATTATTCAGCCAATGAGGGATTCATCCTCGGCATCCCTTACAACAATGCTAGGGGAGCCTCCTGCTTTCTTGCACCATTTGTAGTTATGCTGGTAGAAAGTGGTTTAGTGCTGTCGATGAAAGGATCTGCATAAACGCTTCTGATGCAGGTTGTTTTCATGTTCCCTGTCTATTGCATTTCAAAATAGATGGTGTGTGTGTGTGTGTGTGTGTGTGTATACAAACACACAAATACAAGGATCTATTGGAAGCTGGGAATAAGCCTCTTGTTCCCAGTGAATCATAACATCATTTCCCTTAAGCTGTTCCCCTTCCATCCATGAGAAAGAGGAATGGGACCTAGAAAGGGGAGGTGTCGGTGGCCAAGAGGAGACCCCCTAAGTCTTTCCGTGAGAGGCGAGTGGCCTCTGAAGACTGTATGTGTGAGTTCACACTGTGCTCTTGGGGCCCTGCATTGAGTAACCGTATAGTAATTTGAAAAGTTGATGCACAGTTTGTGATTTTGGCATTTTTCTATTGTCCAAAAAATAAAAATTAGA